ACTTGTTGTTTAAAATACCATGATACACTGTTCCCACGCTTGGCTTTAATATTAGTCACAGGAATCATGTATTTTAATTAACTAAAATTGGAAAACTAAAACCTCCCCAGGCCCTAAAAATAAAAGGCACAGCAACACTAAAAATTCCACAGACTGCCAATCTCCAATATAAACATCCCCGGGCGAATCTGAAAGTTACTACCTGATCCTGCGTCACTGGAACAGATAATTTCTGGTCTAGGATTAGCCATTACGGCTGCTATTACAGTGGGAAAACACACAGGAGTGAGTTATCCTCCTTACCTTCTGTCCTCTCCTCTTAGCAAGCCTCCCTGCTGTGGAGAGCATGTGTGGGGCAGGAGAGGTCAGGCTGAGTAACTGCACAGGTAAGTCTGCGCAGTGAGAGTCAGACAACTGCCTCTTCTTCATCCACAGATCTCAGATCTACTGCTGCTCAGGCTGGTTAACTCCTACCTAAATATAACTGCCCCTCAGTCACAGATATTCTTCCCCCCCTTCATCTTGGAGGAGCAGCAAACGGAGCCTCCGGGCTCAGCAGAGCAATTCCTGAGCTGCTGGAAGAAGGGAGATGTCTCCTCTCAGTGTGTTCTCTTCCTCCTTGTTCCCACCAAAGCAGCCAGGGAAAATGAAGCGCTATATCCCTTCAGTGCTGGCCTGAGGTTTCCAGATCTGGAGCACGACCCTGAAGCTCCAGGGGGTTTGTCTCAGCAGCCTCCTGCAGCTCCCTGCCCCTCCCTTGCACAGCTGCCATGGCGGGGCTCAGCTCTAGTCTTGATCAGCCAATATCAACAATTGTCATCACATTAACTTGCCCTTTGGCTGTGCTCACCCACGCCAGGGCCTCTCCCTGCCAGGACCCAGCAGTGCCCCCCTGCAACGCACCAGACCCTGGAAGACTGGGTTCAGAGAGTCTCTGTTGTCTGTTACAAACCCTAACCACACTCTGAGCAGCCAAAGCAAGCAGCTGAGCCCCACGCTGCGCTCAGGCACCTCAGAGCCTTGCCATTTTTTTTTTTATTCAAGAGTAAACAAACTGAGCTGCCAGCGCATGAGACCATGTCTGCCGAACTGATGAGCCCTGCTCCAAGGGCAGTGGGAGAAGTTACTGCTTGTACAGAAATTGGTGGCACCAGGAAACAACTGCTGGTGATTTTAGGCTCTGCTGGAACAGCATGTGAAGGTTATAGTCATTCCTAGCCAAACCTGTGAATTAGTGGCTGTTCTCCAGGTCCAAACTTCAGGCAGTAATCCTGGCTGGCACGGCAAAGTGCAAAGTTGACAAGATGACAAAGTAACAGAAAACAGTCAAGTGCAGTGTTGGCTCAGCGGTGTCCTCCACACCCAGACCTTGCAACAGCGTCCAACTCCTCCCTGGAAACCCAGCCCGTGTCTGGATGTGTCTGTCAGGTCTCCAGCACCCCAACTGGCCGCTTCAGCTCAGCATAGCTCTTCTCCTCCACGTGGTTTGTCTGCTCCAGGAGCCATCGCCTCTCCTGGTCACTGACATCCAGCTTCAGCGTCACCTCCTGGAAAACGCTGTTCACAGCAACCTGCATCACACAGAGGGAAAGCAGCTCAGTCCCAGTCACAGGGGAAACATGTTCTCTGGGTAGAAGATGGGCTGTTACTGCACCTCCTTAAAGTGAAGCTTTTTGAACATGCAGATACTGGCTTCGTTTTCCTGACCAATCTTAGCCTCAAATTTGGTGATGCCCAGGCTTCTCACTCCTGCAAAAAGGAATCAGAGAGAGAAGCATTTCTATTACCTGCTCAGCTGTCACATCTGTAAAAGCACAGGACTCCAATCTTGGGGCAGATGCATCCCTTGTTACCAAGTCTGAATCACTGGGATTATGTCTTTCTGGATCACAGGCTGTTCCCATGCATCGAGCCACCCTTACCATAGGCCATCATCAGCAGAGTTGCCTCCTTGCCAAACCCTCGGCCTCGGTAGCAGGGCTCTGAAAGAGACAGTCACAGAGTCAGCATCCACTTCTGGGAAACAAATCAGCCGCACCAGACACTTTTCAGAAGAGACTGTGACCTGCACCAACAAAGGTCTCATCAGGGCTGAACAGCCACGGTAAAGCACGAGAATAAAAATCTGCCGTATGTAACATCTGTCTGCAGCTGCCTTTAGCAGATGGAAACAAAGCTATGAAGCAGAACTTGACCTGCAATCATAATTTCAACCTCTCCCAGGGTCGGATCCTCGGCGTTGGTGAGGAAGAGGTTCACATCCCCCACCATGCAGGACTCCTCCTCCGCCTGCCCCGGCCACCGCGCCGCATCCAGCACGATGAAGGTGCACTCTGGGGAAGACAAGAAAGAGGCAGCATTCTCAGGGCATGCTGAGAATGATCCCCAGATTACTGAAGAATGAACCTAAAGGCAGGTAATAGTCAGAGGAATAACAGTTTCCACACATTAACAGCAAGGAAGAGCTAATAATTGGGTTTCCCACACCAAGTGTGCCTGCTCCCAACCATAGAAATGTAAGAAATATTTGGAAAAACCCGTTGTGAGGGTGACAAAGACATCAAGACTAGAAACAGCATGTTTAAGGAGCATGAAAACGTCCATCCCAAGTCTGAGGTCTTGTCTTACTCAGCAGCAAGTTTGGGCAAAGAATTGTTTGGTGCACAAAAGGCTGAGACCCAGTGATTCATCTGGTCCATGTTATTACTGCTTTGAGTAAGGCTTTTAATGCTTTGAGTAAGACAAATGCTCCAGACCGGGGTCTTTGCCAGCTTCAGTATTTTCCAGCTCACTATATTTCCACCAGGTTTTTATGGGCAGTGATTTGTTACCTGTAGGAGAGTCAGGGAACCAATTCAGTTGCTTCAACTAGATGATTATAACAATCACTGGATTTCTCAAGGAAAAACACAACCTGTTTCCACTTTTTTATAATGATCAGACCTGGGGAGTGCTGGCAGGATCAGCACATAATGCTGTGGGAAGTAATCCACTGTAATCTTTAAAAAACTGCAGAAAAAGGACACCAACAGCCCTGGACATCCTCTAGTTCCCTGACATGTTTTAATTATAACAGAAAGCCAGTTCAAAGCTGCTGTTGTAGAGGGTCTCACATCCCCTCTGGTTTGCCGGAGACTCCCAGCTCACTGTGGGTCTTTCCCAGGATGTAAAAGGACCTGCCCACCACTCCCACCCTCCCGTAGGGAACATTTCAGATGCTCACTGTCGGCGTCCTCCCTCCAGCTGCGCTGCATCTCATACTCCTGCTCCAGGCTCAGGGGCTCCGAGGCCGTCAGGCGCTGCAGCTCCTCCGACTGCATCCACTCGTGGTACCTGGCAAGGGACCCAGAGCCACGTCACCGCCCCAGCTGCAGCACTGCAGGTGGATCCCCACCGGCCACCCGAGGATCAGGGCATAAACCAGCTCTGGAAACATCAGCCTGGCCTTTGTGGCGGCTTCAAAGCGTCCACAACCTTCTCTCCCTTTTCTAACACAGGAATCAGAACCCTCTGTGGAAATTTAGTGTTTGTCTGAAGTTTGGAGGCTTCGCCTGGAGCACTTCATCCCGAGTGAGATGATCCGGCAGCTCCTGGACATTGACAAAATCACCAATAATGGCTCTTTTGAGGCTGCAGCTGTCCAGGCCAGCACTTCAGAAACCTACACACCTAATGTATCAAACATCCACACATTGATGTTTTGGGGTTTTTTTTTTTTGCTCTTACACTGTCAGTAGAGAAAGAACAGGAGAACCGCTGGTGTTCACTCACTCACAGGCAGGTATTTCCCCTTTCCACGGGTATACCCAGTGGCACAGATGAAGTTCTCCCTTCCAGGAGACCCGGTACGGGCACGGAGGGCACACTCCCTGCCTTCCCGGGAGTGATTCGCAGGGGGAAGAGGCCCTCTCTGACCACCACACTCGCTTCAGAGAGAGAAGTGAAATCAGAAAGAGCAGGACACGAGCCACGTACCGGGGCACGTGTGCGGCCGTGTAGGGCACCAACGCCACCTTCCTCCCTCGCAGCACCGTGTCCTGGTTAATCTTCATGGCCCCGGCACCCCACCCCGCTGTCCGGAGAGGCCGAGGGACGGAGCAGCGCTGCCGGAGCCCTTGGGGAGCGCAGGTCACGCCGATCCTCCCACACCAGGGAGCCCGAGGGGTCCCCGGTCCGGGGATGCTCCGGGACCGCCGCCCGCGGGTCACGTGCACTGCAGCACCACCCCCCCGCGCATGCGCGGGGCCAACACAAAAATGTGTTACATCATCACCCCTCCTCATCACACCCAACCCGGGCTCCGCCCCCTTTTGGCCCCTCCTCTGCCCTGCCCTTCCCCGCCCCTCCCCACGGCCCAATGGCTATTGTGGTCTTTTTCCCTGTCCCGCTTCCGCCCCGTTCTGGCCCCGCCCTTTTCCATCCCAACCGCGCCCCTTTTAGCCCACCCCAAGCAAGCCCCGCCCCGTCATCTCCACGACCCCGCCCTTTTCTGGTCGCGCCCCCGCCTCTTCCCCGGCCCCGCCCCCTTCCAGCCAGCCAATCGCGGTCCGGTGCTTTCCTCTCCGCCCCGCCCCCCGCCAGCCAGCCGGTCACGTGCGCGGAAGGTTCCGCGCGTGCGCCGTCAATGCCTCCCGCGCGGCGGGGGCGGGGCCGCCGGCACGAGCCGCTGCCGGTGAGGGAGCGGGGGAGAGCGGGGGGAACCGCGGGGAGACGGGACCAGAGCGGGGCTGAGGGGACACACTGTGCGGGCCGGGGCTGGAGGGGTGCCCTGCCGGCGGGGAGAGGCCTGGGGTGGAGGGTCCCGTGCGGGGCGGGGGTGCAGCGGGCGGGGGAGGAGGCCGCGGGGTGTGGGGGCTCTGTGTGGTCTCTGTGGGGCGGGGGGGTTCTCCCGGGCAGGGCGGTGTGGGCGAGCGGCGTTCCGGCTGTGGGACAGGGCCGGGGGGCTCTGGAGGCCTCGGGGGGTCGCGGGCCCTGCGGTCAGTCCCCCCGGGCTGGGTGAGGGCCGTGCCCGGGCTGTCTGTCCGCACACCCCTGCTCTTGCTGCTCGCTCTCTGGCTGCCAAGCTCGGCTGCTGCGTTTTGAGCCCAGCTCTGTCATAAAAGATGGTGTTTGGCCTCTTCTCCTGAGGCTGGTCCAGTTATGACCACGCTGAGCTGTGCTGCCAGAGTGGTTTCTGTCATCCAGCGTGTGTGTGCCAGCTTACAACTGTTTGTTTTTTTAGTGGTGCTCTTACCTTTTGAAGCTCGTGCTGATGATTTGTCCCAGTTTGTGTGGCTGAGTAGGAGCACATGTAGAAGTATGAAGCCCTTAAACAATTCTGCTATGGCTAGTTACTGACACTGAAACCTTTCAGGAGGCTTTGGTTCTCCCCTCTACCTTTTTTATATCACAGTTTATTTTCAATAAAATAAAGAGGGGCAATGTCTGCCTAAAGTATAGATCTAAAACTGCTAAAAACTGCTTAATGTCCCGCAACAGCACTTTCCTTATATTTCTTTAATGTTTTCATCAACCCGAATTGTCACGTGAACCAGCATAAGCTGGGGGAACTGTGACATTGAAACTATTCCACTTTCTTCTCTTTCCCCAAATACTTCTGCTTTGGAAACCTTGGCAGGTGAAAAACATCTTGGTGTTTCTTTAATAGGTGCAGTGTTTTAATTTGTCTGCTCATTTCTGTACTTGATTTATGAGGAGAGACTGTAGGCTGGTTTTGGCTTCTTGATTTACAGCAGGCACGTGCTTGAAAAGACTAGTAACTGCATGAGAAGCAGCAGTGTGAGCTCATCCCCAAGGCAGTCATTCTTCCTCTTGAGGTTTTAGTGTATGGAAGAGCCCCTCTGGCTGTTTGGGGAAGGTGAAGTTTGGTCATCACGTGCTGTGAAAGGGCAGGGCCTTTTGGTTGCTTTTAAACTGGCTTAACAGGTATGAAAACTCCTCGAAAGTGGTGCTGGTGAGGGGGGTCTGTCCGAAGGGCAAGGTCCTGCTGACGTCTATTAAAGTGCCAGAAGACTGATGTACAAAAGCTGACTGGTGAGTTCCTCATCTTTCCAGCAAAAAATAACACAGTTTTCTCGTGTTTCCCCAGGTTAAAGGGAAGAGGAGTTGAAAATACCCTCCTGGCTGTGCTCTGGGCCTCCCCTCCATCTCCAGCATGGCAGGAGGCATCACTGACACTGGAGAGCTTTACTCTCCCTATGTGAGTTCTGCTGCTTGTGGGTTTGCTCACAAGTTGGTTTTTTAATTTCAAAATACTCTTCCCTCACTATTGTGTTTTCAGTTCCCACTTCCCCATGGGCTCAGGAGATGATGGAGGTCAAAGGGTAGTTAAAAATGCTTAGTGTTTGTAGTTACTGGGGTTTTTTTTATATCAGAGATTACTAAAGTATAGATTAAAAAGTCCTTAATGTCCCACACCAGCTCTTCCATCCTTTTTATCCCCTTTTCTTATATTTCATTACTGTTTTCCTCAACCCACAGTGTCACGTGAAGCAGCATAAATGGGGGGAACTGTGACATTGCAACTATGCCACTTTCTTCTCTTTTGTTACTTTATATAAGCTTTCCCCTGAATTTCTCAAAGTTTACTTAATTGCAGCTGTTGCTGTAATTTGTTTTAAACCACTTCACTTAAAATTAGCAGTCAGGAAGTTTCCTTCCCATAATGTGGTGGCTGGTGCAACTCCAGAGCCAATTACTGCTTTCCTATATTACTGGAAATACTGGTTTTCATAGCCACAAGTCTTCATAAAATGTCAGCTTTTAAAAACAGAGCTTTGCAAACATGTTTTGTTATTTTTTTTTTCTGAAGTGAACTCACTAGATACAGAAATCTGTATCTATGAAATCTGTGTGTTGGCTTTTAAATGCTTTAAAATTTTCATCCCTGTGTTAAGGATTGAATTTAGGAGAATGAGATATTTGGCTGTAGAAATAGGGCACAGCTGAGAAAATGGGGAACTGAGACAGTAACTGGGACGTCTGGACCCTTAAGGATTAGTGTCACCTGCTCTTATGTTGTTAAGTTGGTGTTGCATGAATTTCCTGGAGTAATCTCAAAGGCTGTGACTCTCCTCTTTCCCTGAAGATGTCTGACAAGACTGAACTCATGGGCATCATCCTTGTCTCTGTCTGCTTGACCAAAGTTAAGGAAAATCATCATTCTGGGAGGTTCAGCACAAGATGAATTTGCTGTGCTTATGCCAGTGAGGTGCTTGCAGGGTCTCTGGGGAATAATTCTCCCAATTATAATTGCTCCACACCCACAAAAGTGTGCTCAGACACACTTCTTTACTGGCTCTCCTCTGGAGAGATTCCGACCTATATTAAAATAAAAACCCCAAAGCCCAACAACTTTGTGGCAGTTTTTGATCTTGAATTCAGCTAAATGCATAGCCTGGGGGTCCTGTCCGGGTGCAGGATTCTCTTTTGTCCCTGTGCAGTAAAAAAGCTCGTTGCCAGAGAAGATAAAATCCTTTCCCTTCAGGAAGTAAAATCCCTTCTTCAGAAGGTGCTCAGCTGCTTACTGGTAAAATGTCAAGTAGGCTTTGAATTAGAATTCTTTCTGGATATTTCCTTCTTGACTAAGAATAAAGAAGAACAAGCACTTCTGAAAGGTAACTCAGGTGCACAGTCATAACTGCTTGGGTTCAGGTCAGAAAAACAAGGAGAGACTCCAGCCCACAGCAGAGACCTTCGGGTAGAAGGCAGTGATTTCAAAACAAACAAATAAAAAGCTCATGTGCTTTCTAACTTTAAAAGTTAAAATAGAAAAAAATTTTTTAAAAATAATTAGGAAAAGGGAGAGGGATATTTCTTTTTTTTTTTTTTTTCTTTCCAGAACTGTGCTGACACTCACTTTGTTCCCTTTGGTTATCAGTCCTCTCCTCTAGTTATTTCTTGCTCCCACCCTGCCCGCTCAAGGATTGCCCTCTCTGTGTGAGTCTGTGCATAAGTGAGTTGTTTTGGGTGATTCCTGGCACGCTCTGACTGATGCTGGATCCTGTGGCTGGTTGCAGGTTGGTCTGGTTTACATGTTCAACCTCATCGTCGGGACGGGAGCCCTCACAATGCCGAAGGCCTTTGCGACAGCGGGGTGGCTCGTCAGCCTCATCCTGCTCATGTTCCTGGGATTTATGAGGTAGGACATGAGTGTGTGTCTGTGGGGGACTGGAGGGGAGTTCAGTGGGGTGGGGCTGTGAGGACAGTGTTGGCTTTTGCTGCTTTCCTGTGCTCTGCTCCTTGAGACTTGGTCTCTGCCCTGATTTGGGCGGATGCACTTCCTGACTGCCTGCAGTATGGTGCTACATCCCATTTCCTGACTGATGGGCAAGACTTTTCCTCCAGTGCAGAGTCTACTAGGACCTTTCTCCCAGTTTCCTTTTTTTTGTCCTCACTGTGGATACGTTCCATGCTTGCCTCCGTCACGGATCGATTCCCCAACCACCACCCAGGTCACGGGTGACATGGGGTAGTGCTTCTGCTTTGTGACTTGCAGATGTGATGCAGGTGTGTAAGCTCTCTCTGGGCTTCTGGCAATGCTCTCACAGCTGCAAGAGTGTCAGAAAAACAAATTCCTGTATAGCCAGGCCTGTCTTATCTCCTCCAGACCTTCACTACTTGAGACCTTGGAGCTGCTCTCCTGATTTTCCCATTGGCTCACTACGAGCTGCTGCCCAGGTGCCTCCGTGCTGGAGCAGCAGATGGAGCTGAAGGCTGTGGATACAGCGCTGGTGTCTGAGGAGCTATTGATAGAATTGCCATCTTCTGATGGGCTGTGAATCTCTTGTTGCTTGGTTTTAAAATAAAAACAAGAATTTGAAAAATAAAACCAAAATTCCCTCCTGCCTTTTGTAAGAATGGAATTTTGAAGTCCCAGCCTCATCAATAACCAGCTCTCTCAGCCTGAACGTGCCTTTAGTTTTGAGGCAGAGCCTTTGGGATCTGTTAGGTGCTGCTAAACAGAGGAACTGTATGGTCATTACTGGCTGTAGTAATGCTTTTAGTGCCTTGCCTCCTAGCTGGATGCTGTAAACTGTGGGGATACCAGTAACTGGGAGCTTTGGAAGCAATTCCTTTTAGCTACATTAGTATAAAAGCATAAATTCAATGTAGGAAGCTCAGCACCAGCAGAAAATCCTTCAAGGTCAGCAGAAGAACACAAAGCTCCAAACCTTTGTACCAGAACTGCACTGGATTAAACTGAAAAGGTGCAGCTCAAAGGAGTACGTGCCTTGGGAGCTGCATTGCTCTGTGGCTTTTGTTCTGGCGCTTGTGACTTCCTCGTGCCTGCTGGGCACCTTCAGTGCAGGAAAAGTCTGGGCAGAAATTGCCACACAGACCTCAGCACTTCCTTTTATTCTTTCAAAACTAATCTCTCATTTGAGCTCAATAAGCGAGTCCGGCTCCTAAAGCAGTGAGAAACCACTTTAAAGCCTTAAATAAGATTGATTTGAGGGTTTTTTAAAATTTATTAATATCATAGGACTGTTTTTAGCTGAGATAATGACATTCCTTCCATCAGTGACTCTCACTGTCTCCCCGAACAGCTTTTTCCCCTGGCTTCCAGCAACGTGTATTTGCATGCATGTGTGATCTCTCCTTCTTCTATTGCTGCTTTGCTTCTGATGCCATTTATAAAATTATTTAAGAGACTGTAGTACCTTTGCCACAGGCCCTAACAGATGAGTTTCAGAATAATAGTGTGCTCATCCTAGGCTGTAAAAAGAGGAAGGAAACTTGCTTTCTAGCAAAGGGCAAAGTCCTCTTGCTGCCTTCAACGCACAGAAACACCAGGAAGGTGCCTTCCAAATATCTAAAGTGTCTTATTGTATCTGAAGGCGTGTTATACTTTATTGCATTTTGTGGTCTGCTTGAACACCTGAATCTCAAGAGCAGAAGGGAGCAATAAAACAAGATGAAACACTACCAAAACAGTGTGTGGGGAGCTGGCAAAAGGGTTGGTTTTGCTTGTTTTTTTGCTCCTACAAACAGATGGGAATAATTCTCCATCTCTCTTCAGTGACAGTTCTTGACTGTTATTGATGATATCAATTGAATTCCTCTCTCTGTAGCTATATGACTACGACCTTTGTGGTGGAAGCCATGGCTGCTGCAAATGCCCAGCTGAGATGGAAGAGAATGGAAAAACGCAAGGTTTGTGTGGGGTTTAATTTTACGTTTTCTTGTGTTCTTCTATCCTGTAGGATTTGCCTGGGATTCCTCTGCATCTTTGCCGTGCCTCGTTACTAACTCTAAAGAAATAAATTTCTACTGTACTTAACTTTGCCATATAAAATATGGCTGTTAGTTCCCTGTGGGGTTGCTCATTAAAGACAAGATTTTCTGCTCCTGCTTTGAAAAATCTCTCGTGCTGTTCACATTTCTTACTGATCGTGCTCTCCTTGCCCAGAAGCGCTGCTCAGTGAATGTGGAGAGGTGGCAGCCAATATATTGGTGCTATTTGGAGTGTGCTGAGGACTATAAATCCTTGCTGATCTCAGGTCATTTAACTGGGACAGGCTGGAATGTCCTTGCTGTTACTTGGGCTGTATCCCAGGGAGTGGACAGTTCTGAATTATGCCCTTGCTGTAAAGCTTACTTGTGGCTTTTCTGGATCAGAGGGAGGCGTAATTGTTTGCACTGATTTAGACCCCTGTGTTAGTGGGATGGAGTTAGGAGCTAGACCTGCCTGCTCTGACTAGCTGAGACTTTGTATGTTTAGATTTTTTCCTACCAGTTCTGCAGCGCTGCAGATCTGCCAGAAGTTTCTCACTTCCTTGTGCCATGTATCGCTACAGGAGCTGGCCACTGTTGCTGTGTGTGTGACCTCGGGCTGGGACAGCAGAGCCTGTCACTCACTTCAGCCTGTTCTGCCAATGCCCTCTTCTGCCCTCCACAGCATCCCAAGGGCTCCCTGGGGTTACCTTTGCTTGCATGTCCTGCCCTCCTTGTTAGGGACCTTCCTTTGAGGGTCTGGAAGTGACCGTGACACTGGTGGTGCCAAAGCCTTTACTGTGGGTAGCACATATCTCAGCAGCGGTCTGGTCTTTTCATCCAGGAGGATGATGAGGATGAAGATTCTTCCTCTGGAGTATCTGACAGTGATGTTCTCCTCCCAGATGGCTACGAGCGAGCAGAGACACGGCCTATCCTGTCAGTTCGTGAGTACTCAGTTCATGCCTTCGCTGCTCCAAGAGCTCTTCTCTGCAGACAGTGTCCCAGAGAATTCCACAAGTGTGGACTCCTCTGTCCATTTCACCCTTAATTCCATGTGCTCACATCCCAAAGTCCTTAGCATTTGCAAGATAAGACTCATTGAAAATTCAGTTTACCTTCTGCAGTCTGATAAAGATCTTCTCCTTCTAGGTCACTAAGATGAGAACATCTTATTTTCTAAACACTTTTAAACTAGCTTCGGTAGAGTAATTGGACCAGTGACTCTGCAGCTGTGGAGTCGTACAAACTGTCCTTCAAACTGCTGCTAGAGCTTCCCAAGTGTCCAGGTAGTTTGGCCTCTGGGTTTACTGGAGGGATTGGTTGAAACACTTCTTTTTTCCACTGTGCAGAGAGACGTGGCTCACCCAATATCTTTGAAATCACTGAGAGGGTGGAAATGGGCCAAATGGCTTCCATGTTCTTCAATAAAGGTAAGTGATGCATGTTTTCAAAAGGCCCTTCAGGTCCTCCTGGACACTGTGTATGGCTGTTGCTTAAGTGTGCAAGGTTTTTTCAGTGTGGGTTTGCATCCTGAGTTTGTGATAATCGCACCCAAAAGTGTCGTTCTTTCTCTCTGTGGACTGTGTTCATCCTCCTGTGTGATATTTCTATGAAGTATTTATGGGCCAGGTGGGCCAGAACCTGCTGTGGTGGGCACAGAACCAGCAAAACACTGCAGGTTATGGGCCCAGTTTCTCGAGATAGGCAAGTGTGAGTCAGTGCCTTTTCTGACTGCCCTTCACCTGCCTCTGAACTGCATCTGTCCTCTGTGATCTCCACTCTTTAAAGCAGTGAAGCCCAGCTGCAGTTTTTGCCACTTCCGTCTTGGTTGTAGCATTTAAGAATAAGACATTCAGGCTTCCCTGAGCCCTGTATCGGTTTGAAGAAGAGAGACTTCTCATGGGAGCTTCTGGGAATTGCCTGTGCCTGGGGAATCATCAAGAGAGGTGCTGGGACATGAACTGCTGAAAGGGTCCCTGCTGAGCATATGACAGGTAGCTGGCTTGTGTTTCTGTTTTTAAATGCCTCTTGTATGCCAGGGAACAAACTTGTAACCGTATTGCAATACATCCCTGGCCATTGCTCCGTGGAACAGAGATGCAAACCACAATGGTAGAGATTCTCAAACCTGTAAAACAGTGTAATGAAATGCTGTGCAGAGGCAGAACATCACCAGACACCGTGGCTGTGCAGTTTTGAACCTGTCAGGCCCCATTTATTGTGGAAAATGATGTTTTCCCTTGTTCACTGGCCACCTTGCAAAGAGGTGACAGGCTGGTTTTTTCCACTATGTTACATCAGCATTGTGCCAGCATTAGGCTGTTGCCTCTGAAGGACAGCTGGGCTTAAGGAGTGAAGATTCTATGAACTATTACTTCTGATTTTAAAGTCTAATTGGAAAAAAAAACTTTTTAATTTTCATGCATGCCTCTTCTAGGCTTTTGTAGATTTGAATCACACAGGACTATCAGAATAATCCACCTTGGATCAGGCTGCCACATTTCTAGTCAGGGAAGAGAAGTGTGTCAGAAGCGTCTTGTTCCTGGTCTCGCCTGTAGCACTGAGTTGCTCTGACCTCAGAGAAGTTTTTCCTTGTTTGCTTTGCTATCTATAAAACACCGTGAACACCTCCCTGTCTCTCGATATTCCTCTGAGGAGTAATATTTGGAAGTGCTTTGAGGGCAATCACCATGTAATGGGGTTTAGCAGTGTTGGTTGATGAGGACTCAGCTGTGGAGGGCTGGGGGGGTGTCACAGGAGACAGAGTGTCTTCATAATCAAGTTTCAGGAGGCCCCTTCTTTGCATATTCCTCAAAGGGAAGCTGAAAAGGATGCCCCAAAACCAGGCAGGTGTTGGACAAGTGCCTTCTGGACCTCTCTGGTGCTCGGACACTAGAGGGTGCTGGGAATACGTGTCCTCTCTCCGCCGGCACCGATGTAGCTTCTGAGCAAAGTGAAATAAACTGCTTAGTACTCTTAAATCTTAATCCCTCTTCTTAATGTTGCTTTAGCCACAGTTATCTGATTTCTGTGTTAGGGATCCTCCCCGGGGTCTACTGAGCCCGTCGCAAAGGGATGAATCTGTCTGCAGGAAGGCCACTGGAACAGCTGCAGACCATGGCCTGACTTAACTTGTGACTTCCAGATGGGAAGAGTCTGGGGCAGCTGTAACTCATTTGCTGCTTTCCCTTCCTCTGAGCTCAGCAGTGAGGCTTCATCCCTGTCGCTAAGTCCTGGTTCAGAGACACCCTCTGTCCTGGGAGCAGCTGCAGAGACAGACAAGTGAAGTACCTCCCTCTGCAGATCCGTGCTGAGGGGCTCCCTCCTGATGGCTGCACAGAAGGGCCTTCAGTAAGGGCTCAGTGACCAGTGTCTGCTGCCTTGTGCTGAGAAACTGGGCCACACTGGGGAATTCCCAGCTCCAAGCACCAACCCGTGTGGTTTCACAGCTCACAAATGTCTGGGTGGGTGTTTACTCACGATATACGAAGCGTGGATCCCAACCCAGGGTGTCTGAGGGCTTTACAGCCTTCAGAGGGAAGGCTGGTGAAAGCTGTGCGATAGACCTCAAAGCCTCTGATTTCTAGTGAGTTCTCTGCTCCTTTCCCTTGACTGATTTTTATTTTCAGCAATCTGACAGGAGTTGAATCCGCAGTCCTAGGAGGTAAGCTGGGGATAAATCTCAATTTCAGACTGTCTGTTTTCTTAAAGGGAGCTGACTTAGGTTTAGGCTGTGAAGAGCCTCTGTGCCCTTTCGAAAGAGCTGGCTCTGAAGAACTGCTCTGTTTCTTGTTTTAATTTTTTTTTTATTTTTTAATGTGCAATGTTGGGTGCTTTCTTCTGGGACCAAGCAGTCATTTATTGCAGTAATGGATTCCAGGCACATCTATCATACTGTTTCCTCACGGGAAGTCATTGATTCTTTTTTCTCCCCGTTTTGTGCCCAGTAATGAAAGTATTGATTAGGGAGGGTCAGCAGCAGTTTATAAAAGAACTGATGGTAAAGTCTTCCTGTGTTCGAGAAGGTGAGTTTGGGAGAGGACTATCACTTGGACTTCCTACAGACAGGAAAGTCTGCACTGAAACAGGGATATATAGTGTGTGCTAGTGGGTGCTGGGTGGTGCTGCTGTGGTTGTGTCAGCCTTATTTTGTGTGTGTGGGGCAGCTGAGGCCTGAGACCAGTGGAGATCCCAAAACAGAATCTAACTGAGTCTGTAGTACTAAGCTTAGTGTGTCTGCAGTTTCTATCCTATTTCTGATATTTTGTTATAACCCTCAACCCCTTTTAATGGGAAATTGGAGAAAACTGGTAGGTCGTTTGTTGCTGTCTGCAGAACAGTACAAGAGAGTCCTTCACTGTGAAGCCATCTTCAATCTTTCATAGAGCAGGAAAACAGGGGGAAACTATATGGAATGACCTGACAACTTCTGTAATATCTCCATTTGTCTCTTTAGACAAACCAGGAAAAGTCTAGAGCATTGACTTAGTGCTGCTGTACAGAAGCAGGGAAGTTTTCTTGCTGCTTTCCTGATACAGCCCCTTTTTAGGAATATTTTATGCTAAGTAGGCTCAGTATATTGAATAATTCATTTAAATGAAGGAAAATGGCTATTAATGTTTTCTAACATCCTGAGGTCCAGGGCCAGTATGATGGCAAAACATGAGAAAACTTTGGGGCACCTAAGCTGTAGAAATAGGAGTCCCCATTCCTGCAGCAGTGCTGTCCTTGTTGGTAGTTGTCACAGCTGTGAGTGTGAGGTGAGGCTTGCACAGGTGAATTGATTTGCTCAAGCTGCACTAGGATTAAGCATCAGCTGGCATCACACAACTTGAAAGTATGGGCAAGTTCCTTGAGCTGTTTTCCTTCAATGTCAACTTCCTAAATGAAACAAATGTGAGGCTTTTTTTCTGTAACTCACCTGTCTCTGAACTAAAACGTCTTCCAATTTGTTTTTCCTTGCTGAGATTTATACAGACTTGCTTGGAAGAAGAGAATCCCGTGGTCTCATCAAGCATTTCTTTATCCCTGCAGATTTTAGCCCTCCACAGCAGTATCTTTTTGTGCCCCAGTAAGGCTGTTCTGTGCACCCAATTGATTTGTGCAAGAGTTTTTTAATCTGTTAGGTGAAGCCAGAGCAAGCTTTAAAAAAAAAAAAAAAAAGAAAAAGAAAAACACCCAAAAAATCAGTAGGGGCATGAACAGCATATGTGGTGGTGGAAGGGTAAGAGGGCTTAGAAACAGAGTTTTAAAGCTTTGCAGAATTGTACCTTGGCTCAAGTTGCCAGTGGTAGGGAATCTTCCAAAGCAGCTCCATTTCAGCCCTGTGGAGTCTGAGCTCTGCAGGGCCAAGTCCCTAATGTGAAGGTCCTGCAGGTTTGCAAGCAGAGGGTTTGGAATCATCAGAGACTAAAAGCATCTTCTCTCTGCATTTCACTGTTTGTCAGACTGTGCTCACACCGAGTCTGAGAGCATCAGCTGGATGTTTGCCTGTGGCTGTTCCAAGCTGACAGCTTCGTCTGGCAGGTGACTTATGTGAGACCTGTTGGTCTTGACTGCAGGATGGGCTTGAACAAGAGGGTTTAGTGTCAGTGCCAGGTATTGAAGGAAGCAGAGGGGAGCTCTGAGGCCCCTCATGCCCCATCAGATCCTGTGCCATGGGGAGTTCCCCGAGCTTGGGTGGAGTTTGCTGCAGAAGGAAGTAAACTATGAGGGCAAATGGTGATTTTTAAGATCTTTAAAATTTTGTATATTTGAATTGTAGAGTACAAGAGTTTCTGTGTACTCTTCAGTGTCTGGATAATATTTCCTTTTTCTGCAGTGGGTGTCAATCTCTTCTATTTCTGCATAATTATCTACCTCTATGGAGATCTGGCAATCTACGCAGCAGCAGTACCAGTCTCTCTCATGCAGGTGACCTGGTAAGTGTGCTTATTGCTGAGGGTTTGGGTGCTAATGGGGAAAGAGGGCAGGCTTTGGATGTGATGGGGTTATAAACCTCACTAGGATCAGCTCTACTTTCTGAAGAGTAAAGTGGAGAAATGACTCAAGTACAGCTCATCTCTTGTGGGTGGGAGGGTGAAGTTGCTCTGTATTCCCCACCCGAGTGCCTGCTGCCTGCCTGCAAAGTAGCTGACCTGATTCCAGAGCCCTCAGGTGGGAAGCACTTCCAGCTCTAGCACTTGTAGACATGGGACTTGTTGCTCAAAAGTTTGATGGCAATACTCTGAAATATTTTAGCTTGTCTGTCTCTTTGGGTAAGGGCTGAGATGTGTGGTACTTATTAAGTCAGAGGCCAGAGAGTGGTGATGTTATATGGACTTAGCAGTGGACTGAGAGTGATGCCTTTCTCAAAGAGACAGATAATGAAAAAGATTGGTTTGATCGAATCTGGGCTGGGCTGGATTTGGACTTGTGTCTTGGAAATGGAAAACCTCAGTGATCTCTATATGACCTAAACTCACCAGCTTGATGACTAAATGACCAATCTTGCAAATAACTGCAGGCAATTCAAGAATTTTAAATGCCCAGTACTCGCTGACTTGCTCTGTTACACAGTCCAGAAAGCGGGAGGGAGGAACGGCCTCTGCTCATTCTTCCTTCTTGAATGCAGGAGAGGGGAAGACATCTGCTAGGAGTTAATTACTGTCTTTTGTTCTCCCTCCTTTCCCAGCAGTGTCACTGGCAACCATTCTTGCAGTGTTGGAGATGGCACAAAGTACAACGACACGGACAAGTGCTGGGGGCCAATTCGGCGGATTGATGCTTACAGGCTGTACCTGGTGAGTTTCTGGAACTGGGATGGCCACTGTTGCCACTTAAACTTTGCTTCTAGTGATAAAGATTTCTTTTTTTTCCCTGGAGAGATAATGTTCAAGTTCAAGTGAACAACACGGTGTGAAGCTTTTGGTTCAATCTGGCCGTTTTGGCCAAATACCTCCTTCCTGTTCTTGGTGATATGGCTCTGTGTGAACTTGTTGGCCATCAGAATGATCCTTATGGTTTTGAGATTGAGTTCTGTCCGTCTTGTTGTGTAGTTTTATATTGCTTAAGCAGGTGAGATGTTCTTGCCAAAGGCTGGGTTTTTCTTCAGTGGGTTTTTCAGTGGCTGGCTAAGTAATATTCACTTGGGGGTAATTGTTGTCAAGATATTGAAGTATATTAAGCTCACTCGACTGCTTTAGAATATAAAATATCCTGAGTTGGAAGGGACCCACAAGGATCATTGAGTCCATTCTTCATGTGAATAAAATTGTTAATGCTGCAGGAGAATCTGCTGTTTGAAAGATGATGGAAACAGCCAGCCTAGACAACATCCAGTGCTGTATGCTGCTTTAGTAATAGCTTTGTCTAGTTCAGGATTGTCTATTGCATCCATTACTGTGCTGGGGTTCTGCTGTGCAACCAGAGTTTTTCCCAAAGGATGATGAACGTGGCATTTCTAGAGCTTGGGGAGTGTTGAGTGCTCCTACCTGGAGACGTGTTGGTAGGGCAAAAAGAGAAGAGGGAGCGATGCCAGTACTGTATAGTGTGGCTTCTGTTAAGGGTCCTGGTGAGAATTTCAGGAAAAAGGAGTGAGAGTGGCTGTGTGTGCACAGAGAAATCCAGAGAAAAAGACTATTTGAGGCAATTTTGCAGTTAGTACATTTTGGACGTGCAGTGGATCACATCCCTGAGTACACTTGTTCCAACGTTATTGCAGAAATAAGAGCTGGGCCTCAGAAATATTAGGGAATGTCAAAGTCTACTTAATTATTTAAGAGAAATATTATTGCTTTATAAAATTGTGTCTTGGTCTGTTTCTTTAAAACTTCCAGAAGATTGAAGATTTCCTTCCTGAATTTCAATAACTCTCCCTGACCCAGCAGAAGGAGCTAGTCAGAAAAGGCAGACATGCATTAATTACTGCCTGCATCTCTCGGATATTATGTCTATAATTCATGAAGATAATTGTTGTTAGGACTTGCAAAATTAAAAAAATTAAGACTGTGTAAGCATTAGACTTGCAGTCTGTGTACATAACTCTCAGAGGAGCTTTTCCCTCTGCTTGTCTTGTGGATTTGGAGAATAAATATCTGCAAAGTCTTCGCTAGTGGTTAATCCTTTCCTGCTCCGTGACTGGGAGGAGGTTGCAGTGCTTTTTCTGCTGCCCCTTAGAAGGAGGGAGGGATTGTTTGTGGGAGAACAGACCAGCCTGTAGTGGGTTACTGCTGGGGGGCAGTTCTCACCATCACTATTTTCAGGGGACTGCTGGGTATCAGCATGACCTCCAAGTGCCTTTCTGTTAAGGTCTCTAATGCTTTTTACTGGGTGAGTATGGGAGTAAACTGGGACTTTGTTCTACCTCCAGTTCTGCTAGTCCCACTCCCTGCTTGACCTGTGTGGTTTCATTCTCCAGAAAACAGAGATGATGGTGACTTCTATAGGGAGAGGTAAGAGATGTAATCATTTATAAAACATTCAGACCACAGTACTGACCACGTCCTCGAATTTGGGCTGCCTCTCAGGTGGCTGTGATGGGTCTTATTTTTCCCTCTCTCTCTGGGTTAATGTTTACCCCACTGTCCTGTTTGCAGTGTGGACAACTAGTGACCAGCTGAGCTCTTGAACTTCCTGACAGAAACCTGGAAATGGGAGGGCAGGAGGAGGAAGTCACTTGACTCCAAGTAAAAAATTCAGTAGTAAACCATTGTAATTATCTCTACACATTTTGTCCAAGCTTGTTGTGTATAGAAGTAGAGTTTTGACCATGCAAGAAAAGCTGAAACCTGCTTGTCTGAAGAGGAAAAGGCAACGTGACAGTGAGGAGGGGTGAGATGCATCAAGAGCACAGCTTGGTCCCAGGGGATCATACCCACGGAGAACTTGCTCTGTTGTCTTAACTTTCTTTGTTGAATTCTTGCTTGATGGAATAATTTGGGTTCCACGTTTCAGTGGACAAACAAGGTCTCTTTTTGCAGACTAAGTTCCCCTGTGGCAAGGGGACAGATGGACACTGTGATCCCAAAAGAAAACAGCTGAGTTTTTGGATCAGCCCTTTTGTCCTAGATGTCTGCCTCTAGTTTTCTTACCTCATCCTAATACTGTATTTAGGTTTAAATGACTTTTAGGAGAAAGATGGGTGGATGTAACTGGAACCTCTTGCCCGTTCCAGTGAAGCAGTCCTCTGGATATGTAGTATTATATTTCATACTCTGTGCATGACCCCACAGAAAACCTATTTTGGACCAGCATGAGAAATAATCTATTTGAGGTTTTCTGGGCAAATGGTGCCAATGGGAGCTGTCTTGTGCCAAGTCCCACCAGTCTGCCAAAGACCTGTGCTGCCTTCCTCCTGTCGACTCTTTCTCTCCCAACACAGTCTCTTCTTTTCAACAAAAATAATTTCAAACATTTACTCTTCAAGCTGGGGATGGAGAGAGGAATAATGACTGACGTAAAAATCCTTTTTCACGCCTTATTGTCCAAAAAGGCCTCTGGAAGCTGTCTCTGCACTGATTACTGTGAATGGAAGCTGAAAACTATGTACATAATGAGAATATTTAGACAGATTAAATTCTTCTCTTGAGACTTCCTTGTCTGTGCAGCATCTTTATTGCTGCTCCAGGATTTCACACCTAAGTGTGACTGCAGAGTCTTCAGAGACCACTAGGCCCCTATTAACCTTTGTCTGAACAAATGGTTGTCTCGCTTCTTGTTTATAAATTGCTTTGGAAAATAAAGCCTTGCAAGACAAATAAGTGAAGGCAAGTGCAGGAAATATGTAAATAGACTTCTCCTGTCCCATCACTTGCTGCTAGTATTTGCCTCCTTTTTGGGAGGTTTAAAGGGTGAGCCTTCCCATGCTGTTCCTTGTCTGTGAGGGCAAGACCCTGCAGGCCAAATGGGCTGGAAGGAAGGTGTGTGTTGGGCAGCCCAGCGACCTTGTTGAAGGCAAGCACTGATCACAGTTAGAGCAGATCGATGGCTTTCTATCTTTGCTTCAGATCCATCACCACCCTGTCATGTCCTCGACAGCTGGAGTGACTCCCAAGTCCCTTGGCTGTCTCTGGCAATGCTGAGGACGGGGTCGTGTTCTTTCCCTGCTGAATTCACACTTCAGTGCAGTCACTTTATCATGCTCTCTGTAAGGTCCATGGGGCCTCTGCTGTGGAGCCTGTGGGGCAGGGGCAGCGGATTTCAGTTTCAGATCTTTCGTCATAATACTTCCTTGTCTGTCTGTTCCAGTGATGTAGAAATGTGACATGATAGCCTCTGTTTCTAGAAAGCAGATACTGAAATAAATAAAGAGATTAAATCCTGGGGATCAGCAGCCATTCGGAGTGTCTGATCCAAACTGCTTTCATGACCTGGCAAATGACGCTTCTCTTCTGCACCAGGGCAGCTGTTGAAGTTAAAACCTCTACTCCCTTCTCTTCAGCCCTCCTCTCCTGGCAATCTGGGACATGGTGCCTCCTCATGATGGAAAGGAAATGGCTTAAATTCTCAAGGGGAGCCGTATGCCTTTGAGGAGAGGGACTGGCACAGGTACTCCTGGTAGCCTGGCTCGGTAGCGCGTCAGAGCTCCCAGGTGCATCTGTTCTGTCTGAGTCTCTGTTGGTTTTTTTAGCTGATTGGGAAAGGGACGCGGCATCCGCTTGTGCCGGTTCACAGATGCTGCAGTATCGCAGGCAGCCCAGCGGGTGCAGGCCGGGCGAGGATGGGAGCGCAGATGGTTTAATGGAGATTATCCCAGTTGGAAACGTGCTTGTGCAGTGAATAAAATGAGCGGGCTCGCAGGCGCTCACCGTCCCTCTTCAGGAGGGGACAATGTCACCCCGGCCCGACGCTCTGATCAGTGACCAGAGCGGGGCTGGGCTGCAGCTTTGGGAGGCTGTGCAGGGGGGTGAGGAGGAGGTAGTCTGAGGACACACGTACAATTGCTCAGTGCCAGCAGAACTTAATCGGCAAATGCGAGGGCTGTGCTGATAAGTGTTGATGTAGATCCCGTCCAGGCGCGGTGCTGCCTTCCCGGCCGGCTCTGGGCTGGAGCGCCGTGCTTTGTGCCGCTGGTGTACGTGCTCTGCTTCCCTCCTCAGCGTTTCTCCTTCCCAGCTGTGCTTTCACCCTGCTCTGGGTAAAGGTAGCCCTGATTTTCGTTGTCAAAACGGATCTTTCCAGATGTGTTTACCTGCACTAGGGCAGTTTTACTGGCTTGTTCAGCGTGCGGTGCTTTGGTGGCCTGTCTGTGGTTGCCTTCTGGCCTCGGTAGCTTTTTTTTTTGGGGGGTTTTTTTTTTTTTTTTGCTTTGTATTTTGCCTCCCAGCAGTGCTATGAGAGGAGCCCTCATGGCAGTACTTGAACATCCATGCTTGATCTAAGCTGTCTCTTGCCAACTGGGAGCTGGAGCAACAGAGCTGGAGCAGTGCTGCGAGCAGAGTGCCGCTTCCAAGGGCACCTGGGTTTGCTCCGCCGCTCCCTTTGCAGCAAGTGCTATTTCTCTGCCCTGCCTTCCTCAGCTGTGCCCTGCAGCAGCATCCGGTAATAAATGGGTCACAGCTGCTATCTCCTGGATATTCATTCTTACAGGTCTCAGTGTCTAGAGACCTTGAGAACCAGTGGTGAGGAAGGAAGCTGCCTCACTGGCTGGAGCTGGAGCAGGGAGGGCTGAGTTTGCAGCACTTTAGTGAAAAAGGCCTGGGGTGTTTGTTGTGGGCTGCCAGAGTGAGCCAGTAAAAAGAAAGAAAAGCCAATGGAAGTTTATCGTGATGGTGTGAAGCCATCACCTTGTTTAAATAAATTG